TGTTTTTTAAATTATAGCTTTCTTCAGAAATGTTATCAACTATTGTATCTGTCACAAACATTTTTTCGCAAATGTTACCAAGTTTAAGAAAATGTTTTCTAAATATTTAAAATTTATTTTGATAATCGCATTGAAAGTGAACATTACTTAACATTTGCGACATTTAAAAAACAATATTAAATAGTTATAGTAGAATATTGCAATTTTAGCTGAATCTTTCATTGAACTTACGTATGGCCTCTTGCATTCCACTCCTGCTTCAATTACGAATTCTTTGTCTACGAATTTCTGCTTCTTCACCAATTTCGCCATCATTCTTTTCTCTCTTTCCTGTTAAAGAATTACAAGAGATATGTGAATTTGACTGTAGAATTCAGTAAACGTGCGTAAATTTACGCAGGAAATTAGAGATCATTAACTCGAGGCTCTCATTCACGTAGTAATTCTTACATACTTAGATAATATGATATTAATGAAGCTCCAAAATTTCACATTAATTATTTCCATATGTTATTCTCTTATTTGTGTAGTGTATTAGAAAGAGAGAAAGATACATACATTGATAAATAGATATGTAGATAAAATGTTATTATTTATGAAGATTATTTCATAGATAATATGTGTATTTGAGGTCGCTTCAATCTTGAGTTATTGGCGATCTCATTCTTATTACATTTACAAATACCTTACAAATACACATTCCTTACATTTCATTATTGGTTTTCAGTGATGCATTACAACAGGTTGGGATCATTCTTGATTACAATAACAACAAAATTTTACTCTAAACACTATTTTCAATTCAAAAAGAACAAGCCTGGCAGGAGAAAATGCATTATCTACAAGTGGCCATCAACAAACGTCAAGGTAAATCAGGCCGGCTTAACGCTTTGCGAGTTCCATTGCAGTGAAACGCAAGGCACCTCTTCATTTTATATTTCTCCGTTTTGAGAAGTTGATAGAATGAGAGAAAGTGAGACTGAGATGAAATAATGACAATAACTTCAAAAATGTATATTTTTGTGAACGAGTAAAATAGGAATTAAAGAAGAACAGTTCTTGTCACACCAAAGAAGGAAAATGGAAGATAAAGGTCTCAATGTCTTTCTACTTCACATTTTTTTTCTAAAATCCCAAATGAATTTTGCATTCTTAAAAACATTTAAACCCTACTGATTCTATATTATTTGAACACAACTCACCTTAACCAATCTTCTGAATTACAAAACCTTTCGCGGGGCAGTGGAGTATTGCTTCCACTACCTTACCACGAATCATATTTTATTTAAACTGTTCTTTAAATCAGGATTTCATTTTCATAAGAACTTACAAACTTTGGGACACCGCAGACTGTTTTGGAAACATTTAATACTAAAAATATTAACTATAAGGAGCTACACTTAATAATATCATCATTATATATTTTGAGACGTGTTACAGAAACTTTACTTCATGTATGTAAACTACATTTGTATTTTCAATAAATTTTGGGAATTATGTTTCTGTAACATTTCCAAAAACTTAAAAGATCTCAGGAGCTTGAAATCACTTGCCTTTACTACATGTGCCTCTACGATAAACCGATTTTGCAGAAGTTAAGGCTCAGGGATTCGTAGAATGACTGTAACTTTTAAATTAATGGTTTGATCATCAAAGTGGATTTCTAGCATAAATTGAAATAACAAAGAATGGCATTTCTATACCAGCATTTGGTAAAAATATCAGAATGAACGAATGAAATTAATGTTTCATATGTGTTTTTACGTATGGAAAACGCAAAATGAAATAAATCACAATAATATTAATAACAATAATTACGATAATCATATTCAAAAATGAAAAGCGTAAATTACAAAACATTAAGCGAAAATGTGCTGTTCTAATCATCGTATGCACGTAACTTTCTTACACGTGGGAGTACTCTTTAACTATATTTAAAAAGCTCTTACCGTAAGTGGCATTTCTGGAAATGTCCGCGGAGACTACAAAACACTCGGTGCGACGAATCACTGCCCTGCTTCTACTGTAAATTTGGACGGCAATATCGTCCTTTTATTGTAATCGTTCATCCACCTCGCCAAGGATGCGATACAGAACGTTCTTAAAATGTGGAGTTACGATGCTGTTAATTAAGAGTCTGATTTCGCGGTAGCGTTCCGGAAGTCTTACCAAGATTACATAGAACGCCCGTGGCTGATGAAAACGTCTTTGGCGAAGGGAAATGTGCCCCCCAAAACGTATAGATGATTCGTTTATTAATGTACTCTTTAAAAAGGCAAAATCTACAATTATTATTTTCAACATTTGTAATGCAATATTTGAAGTTAATTTTGTAAAACAATTTAGATTCATAAACGAAGTGAATGGCAATACGTTTATTTCAAATACGAAAAATGTATAATTTTATATGATAATTCTATTAATCAAATTCGCTAATTATCGTGATATAAAAACTAATTTGCTGCAAATTCACAAAGGTGACCTATAGGAGTTTGAAAATATTTGCAATAATTGGTTTCGTAAATTATTTATCAATGTTATCTAATTTCTTGGCAAAAATCAGAAGACCGTTTAAAACTACCAAATTCCCAAATTGATTTACTTAGATTGGGGAATATCATTTTTGAAAGAATTGGCTGAGCGGTTTAGACGCTAGCGTTGACCATAGACGTGCAGACGTTTTGCTGTCAATCGCTTTTTTGGTGTCAAGGATCCACAAAAGATAGATTCTGGTTACACCAAGTGTTACAGGAATTTTTTCTATGTTTAGCAACACGATGTATCCACTTTTACGTTTTTCAGGGCCCGGTAATAAGTTTTTCTACCGAAAATTCGCCGTTTATTGACGAACGAGTACATAACTTTCTCTTCTTATGAAGTAATGGCGAGAATGGGAAAGTGGCAATTCATTGAAGTGAATTAGTGTTATGGTTTAAGAAACAATTCTGGGATGATTGAATGAGATGTCTTGAAACTATCTCTGAATCATGTGGTGCACGAATCCATGCTTATGAAGAATTCGCGCCTTTTCGTATTGCGCTTTGTGTTCATCATTTGGAGGTCTAATGGCTTGACCAACAGTATAAACCAGAAAATCGGACGTATTATGACGAAGTTTCGTGTAGTCCTGCCTCTCACATACGATAGAAGAAATTCTATTTTATACGCGAATAGTGTAGGTAAACAACGCACACATTTGTTAAAAAAATGGATTTTCGATCACAGTCTGTTGCCAGCCAAAAGAAATGTGGTTAATGATTCCTTCTTCCAGAATACGAGGGTTGGAGCAGAAGTCATAGCAACTGTTTTTTCTAAACGAAATGTTATCAAATTACAATTTTGTTTGTCGCATGAGAAACATACTGTACTAATGTGGGTTCACAACAACAAATGACTATGTGAAGGCTTTTATTAGATCAGAGAGCAACATTAAATCAGCTGATTGCCCCCACGCCAGATCAATTTAATCCGTTTAGTGCAGCTCCCATACACCAAGATAGCCGTTTTCCATGGACGAAGTGCTCGAGAGTGTTGTAGGGAATTAATGGAAGTTGTAGGGAATAATGCCCTTCCATACCGGACAGTCGCGAGATGCGCACATTTTCTGCGGGGACGCGTAGCAACAAGTGATCAGTAATGCATGTGACGACCTGTGAGTATGCGGACGTGGCACGTGCGGTAATCAAGCATTTGTCTAATTGGGCTTTTAGAACAGGTAAGTAAGGCTTCTGGAATGTTGTGAGCTCACCGCAATAGGACGTACGTCAAATCTATCGAAGTTTTCAGAAGGACCCAAAAACGTTCTCTACCTCTCCCTGTCTTGAACGTCGTTTTCGAAAATACATCATCATGATATACTATTTTTCATTAGTCCGTTGTCTTATGACCTACTGAAACTGCTCCACTCTCTAAATTGCTGATAATGGTGTAATAAACAAAAAAATAACTTTTTTGACATACGACTTATTGCGGTTACCACAATACAACATAAAATCAGTAATGACATTTCAAATACCTTAATAAGTATGAGAAACCCAATTTTGATGCGACATTAAACGACCATTCCCGTAGTGCACACATGTGCATGTTCACGCACGTTCATGCATTTCATGTGCATATTTCACATTTTCCGCCAGTTCTCGTATTCTAAAGAAGAAGAAAAGTTGCCATGACTCACGCCCCAACCCTCGTAAATAGAGAGACAAGAACCTGATATTCAGGACCCTTCTGGATAGGAGATGTTAACAGAGAAGTTAATTAAAAGTATAATTTAAAATTTTGAGCTGAAAATTAGATAAAAAACATTTAATGTTCATTTGTCTTTACAGCCCTGATTAAATTCGTGAGAACATTATCGAATTATGATGAAAGGATTCCTGTCAATAATACGCTCACAATTCATCTACATAATTATTCTTTATGAAGTAAATATCTGTGCCAGGTACTTAAACAAGACAAATTTGACAGTATTATTTTATTCGTGCTTTCGTCTTCAAAACATTAAGATATCTAAACATATCTGAGTTAATTCGTGCTCAAAGATGTGGGAGTAATTAATGTTTTAACAAATTACTATTTCGGTTGATTACATAGATAACGTCAACTTATGCCATTAAGTTTTTAATTTTTGCAATGAAAAATATGAATAATGATATTACTAAAAATAACGTGGAATATTAAAATAGTCGATTATTGGAATACAATTTACATCGATATGGAGCTTGGCTTGATAGGTAAGCTTGTGATATAATAAGGTGTTTCAGTTTGTGATTCAGTTGTGTTTGTGAACATATATCTCAGGTGTTACAATACTTAAACATTGTAGTTTAACATTTGCAGTATAAAATATTATTTATATTTTTCAATTATTTTTGTAATGATTTCACACGGTACTGAATGCTCTCGCATTGAAATATTATCTTGTTTGACCAGTTTTTCAGAGAGAATTTATCAAGTTTGAAAGTATTTTGTCTTTTAAACTTGATAAAGAATGAAAACGGTTTTACGATTTCTCATAATTTTATTAGAAATGAATCTTATACAACAAAAATGCTATTTGGTAGACACAAAAATATTTGACCTTGGTTTAAACTGTATTTTGAAGTTCTTTCATCACAAAACGTGCACAAAAATTGACATTCATTCTTCATGAATGATTGGTTCAATTTGAATAGGCCTTCTACTGAATACCCGCATAAAGAATGGGCGGCCATTTGTTGAGTTGAAAATGCACGGAACAAGGATGTATTTGCCACCCGAGAGTCTCAGTCTGGCGATGACGCTGCAGCATTCCTTAAAGTCCGTCGAATCTCTATGTGGCTCAAATTCTTCGAAATTGTCAAGGGTCAGCTCATCAGGATATCTGCCTCCCGTCTGCAAGTGCGAATCATGCTAATTAAAATCCACAAAATGAATTATATATTTTATGTTTAATAACAATTATCAAAATAGTTGTTTTACAAACAGGGGCGAGGTGTTATATTTTTGTTGAAAACTTCAAAATTAAAATTGTTGGGAAAATACTCAATCTTGGCATTTCTCAAAAATAGAGATAATATTTTTTTTCAATGGAGATAAAAATGTACTACATCTGAGTTCATTATCCTTTTTTTAAACACGTAGAAAGTGTTAAAAATTATACATTTCGTCTTGATAGAATTGAAAGAAAGAAGTGGATTTAAACTTCATCGATCCAGAGCTAGGCTACTCATTTGTGTTTTCAGGTTAAGGTAAAATCTGTAGCATAAGGATTAACATGGCAAATAGTGGTATTAAACTTAAAACAAACAAAAAGAAAAAAACGTACGATTGAATTTTAGCGAAATGTCTGCCACAATCAATAAGTGTTTCGGAGACAGTTTATGTAAGCAAAGCATAAATGCTCACGCATAAGGAAATTACCCGGTTTGAAACTCAGACACTTCTATCAGTCTTTCAAGACTAAATAAGAATTAAATCGAAAGTGATTTTATTCAACACTTTTAAAAATATGTGTCATACCAGATTTGAGATTCGGAAAGAATAATACCATTTTATTGTTACACGATCAAAGAGTGATTTTGTCACACGATATAAAATAAAAAAAACAACTAGAAACCGAAAACAAATTATAAACAAATTAAATCCGCTAATTTGGGATAAGTACTTTAAAGCATATCCAGCCTACGACATAATTTTACATAATCCAGCTGTTTAAGGTTTTAGTAGCAAGCACAGTAAAATTTAGTTGTAACATTTGGGTAGTAAACCAAGATCTGACAAGGAAAATCAAGTGTTGGAAACCGCTTTTGAAAGAATTTAAATGAGGTCACACTACTTGATCACTTACGAACACAGAATATTGCAATGCAATTAAATATAGAGATGTACCTTTATGAACGTCTGTTTGTACTTTCAATATATAATAAGTGGTAGTATCAATAAAAGTACAATACACCTGTACAAGTACACATTTCTGACTTACATTTAAAGAACAAGAAAAGAGGAGGCAAAAGCTTTTTTATCTACTGCATCCTGAATTATGTCTGTGTTGTTGCGACTGCTTATATTCCAGGGAATGGCGATGTACTCTCCAAGGAAAACTTGAAGATGCACGTGGTTATTGAATTGTCCAAGTTTTGTTGAATTATTTTTCTGCCCAGAATTTCTCGTTCAGATTACGAAAACTAGCAGTCGGCGTGCATCTTTAAAACTCTTAATTTCTCGAAAACTTTGTTATGTAACATGCGATATGGCGATATGCTTATTTATAAACTCGTCTCTTCACGGGTGTTATGATGAGCTAAAACAATCTATAAGGTTCCATTTAAAAAATCAAAGTTTCGTCAATATTTCATATAGTAGTTTTAGTGAAAACCGCATTTCAATATCTGCAACGGTTCAGGAGAAAATTAAAGGCAACATCTTAGGTGGGCCACACGGAATACTCTAATTGAGTAACATTAGTACCGCAAATAATGGAACACGGTGGTGAAGCACATATTATATTGCACGGTGATGAAGCACATATCAATTGTTCAGTATCAGAAAAATAGAAACGCGACGAGGAAAATCAATTGTAAAATCGGAAGGCTACGCCATCTGTTCAGCCTATTTATTCATTTGTCAATCACCAATTCGTTCCTGGGCTAATATTCTTCACTATCATTTTGATTCGCTAAGTGTGATCAGTTTCATGAAGTAGAAAGCCACGCTGCTTCCTTGAAGTCAGCGGTGCCTCAGGCTCAAAAAGTAGAGTAAGAAAATAAGTAAATGACTTCCGAAGTCCTCAAGGGTGCATCTGATGGGTTTGGGGTTGACGCTAAACCTGTCACTAAAAGTGCTTCAGGAAAACGCACAATGTTTCAGCCACGAAATTGAAAAGTTACAAAAACGATTTTTACAGTCATACAAGCCTTTCAGGCCGAAACGGCATATAACGTTGTTATTGATAAGAACAGGTAAGGGTACTTTCTTTCAAATTCGAAATAACTTACCTATATGACATTAATTTAAAAAAATATTAAAATATTTTTATAATATCTCCCTCATAGTACGTCATACTCAGTTTTGAATTTGTTTGACGTGTGAAAAACCATACGCACGATTTTAAGGTGAGTAAGAACTTAAAATCTCTGAAGATTTACCTGGAAAACAGTAATAGAAGTAAGACATTGTTCGTTTCCATATTTCGTTCTATGCTGATCTTGGACAAGATGAATAACCACTCATACATTGGATAATTTTCATCATCATCTTCTTCCTCACCTTTGTTTCTTCTTTTTTCATCTGAGAAAAAGTATTTAGAATGTAGTCACATTTTAATATAAAATTAAATTTTAAAAAATCTGTAAATTCTGTCTCAAAATTCTTTTTAATATTACTGTTAGATTATTTACTTATTTATTAATATTAATATTACATTATAATTATTAGAAATCAACATTATTACAATTTAAAGATTTTTAAACGAATTAACTAATAAAAGAAGAAAGTTTGCAAGTGCAGTTTTAGCTCGTACATTTGTAAAATTGTTATTGTAACTTGCTGTTTTTGTTATAGAAAATAGGCCAATTAACTTGGTCACAGCAATGTCTTCGAATTTGTTTGGCATACTGCGATGAGATTTAAGGCCAATTGTTGTAGAAGAAGGAAAAAAATGTTTTGTTTCCTTGATTGTAGCATTTTTAGTTTCGAAAATATTAGTAAAAATTTATTCAAAATATTTTTTAATGAGCTGGTTACTCTGCCCCTGACAGGTATCAGGTGTTGACAGTTTCATCCAATCGGGAGCTTGAACGACATTATAGTGATGCCACTATGGCGAGGTTAAATCTCCCGACTGTCAACAGCTGATAACTACCAGTGGAAGAATTGCGAAAAACGCAGTATAAAGAAAAACTTAAAGCTTTGAAATCTAGAAGAAAGTTAAAAATGGAAAGGAAAACTCTTCATGTGTAAGAGTTAGTGCGAATACTGTGAATTGTTTTCATCGGCATGGTTTTGGGTAGCTAGCAGGACATTCTGAGGTGCACGTTGAAACGAGCACTATTAAATTCAATGGTACCTCATTGAAATCCATGCCTTAAATTGTTCTCTGAAGTACAATAATTTCTGAAATAGAATAATTACCGAACTCGTATGATATCATGACCAATATGTTCAATGCAGACTAACAGTGAAGATTCTAAATTAAAAATAGTCAATGAAATTTTGGACATTGTTTCCTAAGAATGAATCAAAATTTGGATTATAGTTTGGCAGTTTGTTTTAAGTCACTTTCTACATTGTTTATTTTTGTACAAAGTTAATAAAGCATCTTGACAGAGATAAAGTGTGAGCAACTTTGAATACCCATCAAATGCCTCAGTGCACGTTTAGCAATTATTGGATATTTTGGCCGAATTATCCACTAGGGAACCAACTATCCACTAACTTCCACTAGGGAACCAATGATGCTGCTTTAAAAATGATTGTAGAGTCTGGTCACATGTTAATTCAAAAAATGAGTCGTCGCCATTTGACAGTAGTTTTAGTTCCTCTATAAAGCCTTCTTATTTGGACTCTTGACTAGAGTTTTTCGGCCCACTAATAGGGTCGCGGTCCAAACGGAAACAGCTGGTTGAGAATATTGAAATATAACTTAATGAGATAAATAAGAAATGTACATTGTAATATGTAAGAAATGTGTGAAATTGTATGAGCATCTTAAATGAGTTACCTCTATATACATTCTATTGTGTGATATGAACGTGTTTTACATTTCATTTCTTTGCTACCTACTTGGCTTATCAACTGTGAGAAGGTACTGCGGGTTCCTCAGAAAATTCTCTGCATATTCAATGCCATCTCCTTCTAGAGAAATTCCTTTTGGCCAAACGTTGGTGAAGTTGTAGATCTAAAGAAAGGACAGAGAAAACTTATATCATACACTGCAATTGATTCTAAATCACTCTCAGTAGTAAAATAATCCGATATGGAAAATATTTTGGAAGGTAGTAGTATAACAACAAAAATTCTACTCGTGAAATTAATACCAATAGCACTGAACTATGCTTCTTACATGCAAAAAACAGATAGTATATCCCCTTAAAATTGTCGCTTTTGTTATCGCATATTATTACCACCCTCTCCTTACTGTCCAATTGCTAGGTGCGATAATAAAACTTAAGAAATACAGTCGTATGCACTAGGAGCGCGAACACAATGTAATTAATATCAGGCCCATTATGGAACTTTTGGGAGGTAATTTGATTCTTAAAATAGCCTGTACCACTCGCACGTAGCAAAGAGTATAGCCGAATAAGGGGGTGAAAAGTGCCTCCAAACCAAATCGATAACTGCGATACTCATATGAAATGATACTCGTATGAGAAAGGGTCGTAGATTCCCAAAAAATCAGCTTCCTAGGGAAATGTGTTTCATGAGAAAAGTGTTTTACCTGATACTTGCAATAGAAGCTGAGAAATAATAAAAGAAGTAAAACACAATTCTCATTGTATCTCTTAACAGATTGTCCTAGGAAGCTGATATTTTGAAAATCTACTACATTTTGCTATCTTTCGTATGAGAATCGCGATTATCGATTTGGTTTGGGGGCACTTTTCATCCGCTCGACCATGCCCTTCACTGTTAAATTTCCTCGCTATATTGCGAATTAATTGGAAATTTGCAACACAAACGTGGTATTAACTACGAAGACAAGTTTTTGAAAATCGATCTCCTTGCCATTTCACTTAAGGAAGAAATAAGTAGTCTTGTAGAATATTTATAGAATATAGAACAGTCAGAATAAGGGGATATATAATATAGAATACAGTTATAGACTATTTCGTCACATCAATGTTACCCACTTGCTGAGCAGGTGTTCCATAAAAATCACCGAAGTTTGGGCACCGGGAAGCTATCGTGTATTCAGGAAGATGCTTTTTAAAATGAGCTGCTTTCATGAAGAACTGCCCATCCTCGTCTTTCACGAATTCCACTTTCTTCCGGGTCTCTGCATCTACTCCTGTCCATTTCGGGTCTCTGTTGAGGAAATAAAAATTTATTAAATCTATTAATTTTTACTTTTTCATCTGTGTAGAGTAATTTATTTAGCTGCCAAATTAATTTCAAGATTTTAATAAAAGTCCACTAATTGGGGTCCTGTGATAACAGTATCTTTAGAAAGTATTTTTAACGCCCGTCTGTCAGTCTCTCTTGTATGTCTGTCGTTTGTGAACAATATTAGAACCTAAAGCATTCGTAGAATTTGTTTCCAAGTCGAATATTCCGCGATCAATCTGGCCTGACGTCAAAGCCCTGCAATTTATAAAAAAACATTGAATTTTATATGTACTCTTTTGAATTACCTGGGACTTTTTCTAAAAAATAGAAAAACATGTTTATTTAAATTTCTCATAAAATGTATTAAATTATACTTATAAAAATGATATGTCTCATTTTCACGTTCATTCTAAAGTTTCCGATTTAATTGAAAATTCTTAACATGATTGTAAAGGTATTTCCTTGAAACTAAATTTATTCTTCTCAATTACTTCTTTAATTAATGTCATGTACATTAAAAATATTAGTAGTTATTGCGAATTTTGAGTGAATTACGAGTAAATAAAAACAAAGATTTTCTCAAGAACGGCATCAAATTTCTTTTAAACTTAATAATAGTGATAAATTAATATGTGATAATTTTTTTGAAAACATGACATACATGTCATTTTGATCGTTTCTTTTGATTTTTCACAAATAACAAAAATGTGATTTTTTAAAAAATATTAATGTTTTGTTGGTACTTTATGCGGAAAAATTCTGCCTTTATGATGTCTGTGATAAACGCTAGCAACTAAACCATAAGCTGGATATTGGTTGATATTCCCCTATCAATCTGGCTGGTGTAGCGGCCCCTTGAAATTGAATAATATTTAATTTTTATCTGTCTGTAAAATATCAGTTCTTTCTAGAACAATTGAAAGAAAAGTTTCAAAATTGCGGACCCTCGTGTGACTATAATAGGGAATATATGTATTGTTGAAATTAAATTTGTTATCCACAACTAGTTTTTCAATTAGCATTAAGAACATTATTTACAAATTATCGTAGCCTTCGTTTTGAGTAAAATATGGACAATTTTCAAAATAAGATTTGCTCAGAAACTGCTGCAAATATTTTCTTTAAACTTTTGTATCGACATTAGTAAATAATGTTTATGTATTTTGATTTTTAAAAGTTGTACAAATTAATTTTTTGAAATATCTCTCACAATGTTGATATTTACTTTATGAGCATTTTTATAATTTTTACATTACATTTGTGAGCACAAACGCTCTACGCACGATTAATCATCTCAAATTATGTAACTTTCATTTCGATAAGAGGCTTCAAATGTCGAGAGAGTTTTACAGCATTACGTGCTTATTACAAATTACATTCCAGAGAATAGAAAGGGATTACAAAAAGGATAAAATGGTCGAATGACCAAAAGAACTCTGTCCTGCAAGGCGCCCTTCCACTCGAATCTCTACGCTCGGCCCACGGGTTCCTCACTCGCACCAAGCGATAAGAGAGTCTCCGCAGCACGTGTGTACGCACCAGTCACGGAGTAAGCATGATAGCCGGCGATGCCTTGTGTCTCGTCGGCGCTCCTGCAAATTGCACAACAAGACTGCTAGAAACTTGCAGTTGGACGGTTGTTTTAACTTATGGAAACGTTACGAGAGCTGTAAGAAGTACAAATGAATGCCGGCTAGCTGGTAGACCCAGGTGCTCAGTGTACGTGATGTCGGCGCGACTCAGTAGTTCAAATGGTCGACGCTGGATGGCAGAGGCTCCACTTGGTATCAGAGGCAGAGGGCGCACGCTCCCATTCCCAACTAAATGACGGGAATATACGAAGAAACATTCGAAAAACGTATGGTAAGCATACGATGGAAAGGTGGGAAACATCTGGGGAAAATCTGGAAGCTGCAGAAAACTTGCACGAAAAGTAAATAAGGGAGACGTAAGAAAGTGCGGCAAACGCACGGAAAACATGCAGGTAACTAGAGAACCAGTAGAGAAGTATGCGGAGGTCATAGGAGGGAGTTACGTGATTTCAGGTTTCTTCGCAAAATCAGACGCTAGTTAAAAGAAATGCAGTGCCTATGAATTAGATACAGATCACACGCATGCATAAATACGTGTTCGTGGATTGGATTACAATCAGGTGAATGCCGGGCAGTTCTTTAACAAATGCTCCACGGGCTGCGAGAGATTTTGTCTTCCTCATCCGTGTCTCATTTTCCGTCCTATACTCACACACACGCATGCACTTCTCACTCACTCACTCACTGACTCTCTCTCTCTCTCTCTCTCTCTCACACACACACACACACACACACACACACACACACACACACACGCGCGCGCGCGCGCGCACGCACACACACATGCACTAAGTACCGTAAACTCCGGTAGACCAGTCGGGAACTTAGAGCTTGTCCGGCTCGGGCAGTGCCCCAGTGGAGGAGATATATGGAGAGGGAAAACCTCGTAGGACACCGTGTGGGCTAGTGCCGAATATCACATTCCAGCAAGGGACAAACATCGCGACATCACGGGAGTTAACATGTACTACAGTTACGTTACTAATGAACATAATAGTTGATGCACCGGGAAACACCGAATAATCAAATAATCATGGCAATTACACTACATAATGAAAATTTACATGGCGATCAAAAATATTACAAAGATCAATGTAAGTATTACGTGTCACGTTTATGTCTTAATAATTAATGTTTTGGAGAATGTGCATTATTAAAATTGATCTATGTATAGAACAGTACGGAACAAATCTACACAGCAGTATTACTATTGCAGTGATCCGTTCTGTGCCACTTAGCTTTGAGGGAAAGTGAAGAAATGTGGCGTGAACGTTGTCATTAGTGATAGAAATAATAAATCGTCGCCATTGCACAAGAATGTATTGCTTTTTATAATGGCGGAACACCCAAATCGAAAAGATACAAGTTAAGTTATGTTTGTTAAAATGATAATATTAATTACTCACACTGGTACCGGTGGCGATGAGTGAATTGTGTTGTATTTCATTTGAAAATAACTCATATAACTGACGTTCATTTAGCTTTATGTCTAGATGTTCATCAACAATGTAACCAGTGAGACATAAAAGTGCTTCACTTGGCCACCCCGCCTCAAGAGCTCTGTAACTTCCATGAAACCTGTAAATGAAGAATGATATTTATTATGCAAGAATTTTACAACTAGCTCGTATTATGGTAGGTGGTACGATAGAAAAATAGTAACATTACTTGCGAATGCTCTTTCCAAGAGAGGTAGCCTAGTAACTCATTACTTTGGTGCACCCACTGAGATAAGGTCACCTTTTCGTTACAAAGAAGAGTACTCGTCATATATAAACAATGTTTCCACTGGCCTAAATTCAGAAACGGAAGACCAATATACCTTGATAATCATTACCGTAAAGGCACTGGTCGCTTGGTATCACCTATAGAAAATTTGGGTTTAGTTCAGCATCCGTTCCCATATGCTGATCAGAAAGTAAGTAGAATAGAATATGGTCATAGATACTACCTACTCTTTCTAAGAAGCCACCAATTTCCAACCCAAAATGCACATATTTTATTTCAAATCTACATCCGCGATTCATACTTGCAAATTCCTTGCATCAAAAACAACAACAAACAGAACAACACAAAATATCTATAAAGGCAACACAATTATCTAATTATGATCCGTATATACTGCATATCAACATATGTAATAATACTGAATCAATCACGACTTGGAAGACTATCCTCTACGCCTTCATTTCCAATAGTAATGCGTTAATGTGTCAGTCCACTGTGTTATTTTTGTGTGTATACTGCTATTCTTGCTGCTTTTACATTTGTAAACAGATGAATATAAAATTGGAACGAATTACGTACAGCAGTGCTGGCAACGTTTCCTCAGAATGTCAAAAATTTGAAAATTAGATTAAATCAATTGTAATTGTTTTAGATTATTGTATTTTTGTATTATTATTATTATTATTATTATTATTATTATTATTTTATATTAGAAGGTCAGTTTTAACATGGTGTGATTAATACATTAATTGTATTAAATAATTTGTAAATATTGTAATGTTTGTTTTGTGAATCTATAGTAACAATTTAGAAAACGCTACCACCGTCAGCACTATTTGCAGGTGTCGTTCATTCATGAAAGAGACTTGGGCAACAGGCTAAGAGTATAAGGAAATCGTTCCAGAAGATTTGTGCCAAAAATTATCGTTTCTCTAAAAGCGATTTGAACCTCCGACGCGGTAGCTCTTAATCTAGGTTCTTCCTACCCTAGTTACAAACGTGCATTATTGAAATCTATTGCTTGGTTGGGTTGTCTCACCTGATGGATGAGATGCGGGTGCTGCGCAACCACTGATGCAACGCACAAGAACCAACAGTCGCCCAAGCTTTCTTGCTTCACGTCCATGTGGCTAGGGCCATCGATGAACAGCTCTGGTTTGTCGACGAGCTCCTGTTAAATTAATCGGTTTATAAAAGTACATTTTCGAAGAACATCAAACCGATTGTGTTTCAACGATATCTGGCACTGTCCTCTAATGAACAACACAAATAATTAACATTTTTCAAAATAAAAATTCTGCAACCGATCAACCTAGAAGGTGTCTACAAAATTCAGATAAATTTACTTTTAATTCAAAGAAACTTGATTTTCCCGACTTTATAATCACATTTTCAAATATCTGGTTATCGGTGGTTAGTAATTCCAAGAAATTACAATCTACTCATCACTGTAAAACAAGATGGAATAAATGATATAATAATATCAATAATTATTATTATTACTATTCTTACATTATTCACTTAAAATTATCCTAAGGCCTTAATAAAACATCCATATGTAAGAGGTTTTCGAAACATGTTACAACAAAATTTATATTTTATGGTTTTATAGTACTATTTTCTATAATAAGGAAACTTATTCATTTTTATATTGAAGAAATATGAATGAAGTAGTAAAAATGAAGCCTAAAAAGGAAAACTTTTGAAAGCTGTATTAACATTCGTCTCCAAAGGTATCATCTGAAATGTATCTTACGTTTTTTAATGACGCATTTCAATTGGGAATGTTTAGAGAGATTTCAAGTAATGAATTTCAAAACTAAATCTTCGCGATCATTATTTTAGTGCCCTAAATTCAATCTCTGAGTTAATTAAAAATTAAAACTATGTGCTCTAATTGAAAAAAAGATTGATTTAATAAACATTTTGAATGAACACTAATAACCCCAATTGAACTACATAATAATTCAATACTTCGTGATCGGCACAGTAAAAATAATTCAATGATCCAATATTAATTATAAAATGAAATAACTTTGGAAGAAAAAAATAATCCAACTCACATGAGGTCTCTTACGTTCCACTCCATCTGTTTCTAGAGAAAATTCTTTGTCGACGAATTTTTTTTCTTTCGCCAGTTTTTGCATCATCCTTTTCTCTTTTTCCTACGAAAAGATAATAACAAATTAATG